ACAAATGTGCTTTACACAATTGATGTATAGATGGATTGTGATAAGAGTTGTATGAGCGCCCAATAAAATGATTTAAAAAAATAGTTCCCTTCTTTTGGGTATTTCAGTTTTAATTAAAATTGTTATTATTCCAAGTAAGGCTGACCCCAAAAGTTAAAATAGTGATTATTTGATAGCTTTAATTATTTTTAAATGGAACTTGGGAATAAGGTTTGAGAATTTAAAACTCTTCTATTTATGATAAACACAGGCCGTGAGAAGCAGTATTTATGGTCGCCCAGGTGCTTGCTATGTCGACATACCTGCTGATTATGTGACCCTCCAAGTGAATTCAAATGCCATCAAGTGAGTCACAGTTACATATTCTTTAATTGTGTTAAATGTTCACCTTTTTAAAAGAATTTACATAGAAGCTTGAAAGTTAATCTCCATTATTCTGAACTCATAATGATTTAGCAATTACACTCCATCTTAGCCAAAGGGTTTAATACCTTTAATTAAAATGGTATTATTTATTAATTACCTTCCCCCCTAAACATACGTGTGTGTGTGTGTTGAGTGAAAGTAAATAATCACTTTTGGATTTGATTTTCCAAATTCCCTGTTTGGAGTTATTCTCGCATGAACCATAAATGACAGGTGTGACTGCAGTGCACACTAATGAGAGTCTATCGTCTTAACCAGAAGTTGAGGAGACTGCTGAGCCATTATTGGGACTCAGCAAAATAATGTCAGTTTGTCTATCTGCCTCTTGCTCCGAGTGTGTATGTCAAAATACTCTTATGCAGATGCTGTTATGATTTGTCTGGTCACCTTATTCTCTCTGAGTGGCACCTTTTGCAAGGGTTTCTCAGTCACCCTGATAAGGACGGGCACTGAAGTTAAAGCCCAGTCATGGTTCTGCAGCGGCTACAGGCAGAGAGTGGGCCTTTCTGTACACACAGTGTCCCCAAAGCTGATGTCTACTTGGGCAGACCAGACAGAAAGAGCCATCTGTTATGCATAGTTTCTGAACATTCCAATACAAATGATGGTATTGCCTTACTCAATGAGTGGAAATTTAGTGACCTCGTTAAAACATGGACTTTGGAGACACAGTGACCTGGTGTAATCTACTAGCTTCTGTCACATCCCGTTTGGGGACTGTATTAGTCTGGGTACTTTGGAGAAACAAATCCACAGCAACTCATAAGAGAGAGTTTTATGTAAAGAAAATGTGCATCACGAAAACATCCCAACCCAATGCTGC